TTCGCCTTCTCTTCTCCAGGCTGAACCCCCCCAACTCTCTCAGCCTCTCCTCCCAGCAGAAGTGCTCCAGCTCACTGATCATCTCTGTGGCCTCCTCTGGCCCCGCTCCAGCAGGTCCATGTCCTTATGTTGAGGACTCCAGAGCTGGATGCAGTATTCCAGGTGGGGTCTCACGAGAGTGGAGGAGAGGGGCAGAATCACCTCCCTTGACCTGCTGGCCACACTGGACAATCCTTGATGAATTGCCTCTTGCAGTGTTTCCAGCTCGTTCTTCAATACCTCAACACCAGTTTGTTTTGAAGCTCTGCTCTTCAAAGAGTTTGTGGCTTCCCCTTCATCTGAGTTCAGCTCAGGAGACTGAGGAAGCCGGCCCCGTGTCTGTGCAAGGAAGCCTGGTCCTGCAGAGGTCTCGGCACAGCCCGTGGACACGGGCGAGCATCTCCTGATAGGCAGCATTGAAGCCTTGCTAAGTCAAGGTGGGTCCCAGCTGCTTGTCTCCTATCCACCCACCTCAGAGGTCCCAACCCATACTGGATGGTTCTTATCTTGTGTTATTTTCTGTGTGCCTTTATATAGACTGCTTATTTATGTGTTTCAGTAGTTTTCCCCAAGTGTTCTTTTTAAAGGCAGATACTATATGTCTTCTGCTGGTCTTCTGAAATCTGACCTGTACTCTGTGACCTCTCAAAGATGCTCATTAGTGGCTCTCAGCTAATCCCAGGTGGGTTTCGCAACCTCTCTGGGTTTCCACACCCCCCTCATCCCTGGCTGCTCCTCCTGGGCTGCTGCGGGATCGTGCTGCTTCTCCACAGCCTCAGCTTCCTCGGAGGTCCTTTCCCTCTTCTCGCTCTGTCTGTCTGTCCTGCATCGCGTCTCATCTGCCTGAACCCTCTCTCTTTGCCGGCAAGACCGTGAGCGTGGCCTGAAGGGCTTTGTCCTCGGACTGAAGCCTGTTCAGGATATTTTGCCTGTGCTAGTGCGATGTGAGTGGAATGAAGAGCTCGTTTTACAGCAGCGTTAATGGTTGCACCTGGTTTGTGGCCATGACGCGCGTCCCAGGAGGACAAGCGGTGACACTGCCAGATTTTTTTTAATCAGGAGAGCATCTCTCCGCGTGCACACCAGAAGGCATGGCAGAGACGGGTGAGCTCCTCCCGAGCAGTTCTCTCTCCGATAGCATCCCTGCCCTCCATGTCTTCCCACTTGGGTCGCTGCTGTGAGTCAGGGATGGAGAGAGCCGCGTTCGGGCTGCCAAGGACAGATGAAGACTGCAGTCCCGTTCGTCTCTCCAGTGTTAAAACAACTCCCTCTTGCAGCGTGCCCTCGTTTGGAGAAATGTCAAGTATTTTTTCACGAGAGATGACTATATTTCATCTGCCTAAAGAAAGCAGCCTGAAAAGGCCTTACAACTCCGTTTACTTCCCTAGCTTAATTGCTTTAATTTGCCCCCATCTCCATCCCGGGTACGTTGCTGGTCCCACCTGAGCCGCTGCCACCCCACGGGCTCTGCCCCGCTTTTTCCCTTTCTTCCCAAACTTTCCTTTCCCCCCCCTTACTCAAACAAAAATAAAAAAAAACCCACATCAACCCAACGGATCCTCCCTGTGTCGGATGCGGCCAATCCAAATTCCTTTCTCTGCTGAAAAAAACCCATCACAGCGCTGATTTTTCCCAAGATTGGGAAATTTGGAGCGCAGTGGCTGGCGCGCTTCCTCTCTGTTGGGGGAGCGGGGTGGGTGT